TCAGGGGACAGGGAGCAGGGGGCGGTTGGCTGGGGCGGAGGTTCGGGGTGGTGGTGGTCAGGGGACAGGGAGCGGTTGGATGGGGCAGAGGTTCTGGGGGGGCGGTCAGGGGACGGGGAACAGGGGGTGCTGGGTAGGCGTGGGAGTCCTGGGGGGGCTGTCAGTGGGCGGGGGTGTGGATAGGGGTCTGGGCAGTCAGGGGACAGGGAGCAGGCGGGGTTGGATAAGGGGTGTGGTTCCGGGGGGCAGTTGGGGTGGGGGTGTGGATAGGGGAAAGGGCAGTCAGGGGACAGGGAGCAGGCAGGGTTGGATAGGCATGGGAGTCCCGGGGGGCCGGTAAGGGGGTGGGGGTGCGGATAGAGGTCGGGGCAGTCAGGGGACAGGGAGCAGGGAGGGTTTGATAGGGGGTGAGGTCCTGGGGGCGGTCAGGGGACAAGGAGCGGGGGGGGGTTGGATGGGTTGGGGATTCTGAGGGGGGCAGTCAGGGGGCTGGAAGTGGGAGGGGCTGGATAGGGGGTGGGGGGCAAGCTGTTTGGGGAGGCACAGCCTTCCCTACCCGGCCCTCCATACAGTTTCACAACCCTGATGTGGCCCTCGGGCCAAAAAGTTTGCCCACCCCTGTCCTAAGCCTTTTGCTCTGGGAAGACTGTTCCCCAGCACAATGCAGCTCAGCCTCTGGAAGCGCTTCCTGCTATTCAGCGTCTATTGACCATGACTTCATTTCATCCTCTCAGGCCTAACTGTAGCCCCTGGGGCCACCCTAAACTATCCCCTGCCTTGCTGTTTGCAAACGCCAGCTGTCGGTTGTGTCTCCCTTCCTCATCATGGAGCCAGGCAGGCTACACACTCCCGTGGTGATGTGTGTACCTAACACCACTGTCATTAAACGTAGGAACCATTTCACTAGAGTGACCGTATTTCCTAAAGTAAAAACGGAATGGCCTGGGGCTTGCCAGAGCCACACCCCCCTCCCCCCCCACCGCCACCTGGGGCTAGGGCCGACTCCCATGAGCTCCACGCCACCCACAACTGGAGTTGACCCCCCCCAAGCTCTGTGCCTTCTGCAGCTGGGGGGGGGGGACGCCTCTGTCTGGCACCTCGCGTCACTGCCCCCACAACGTTCCTCCGCGCCGGGGCGCACCCGGCTTTTTTGGTAAATTGGGCATTTCTTCGTTTGCTCTTCCCCAAACAGGACAAAGGCCCGTTTTTGTCAAAAAAGTCGGCATGGCCAGCACAGAGCTTAAAAAGGGGCCTGTCCCGGCCAAAATGGGACGTATGGGCACCCTCCATTTTGCACAGAGGGCTAGCTGGGGCTGGGCCGTGTGCAGCTGTTGGCAGGTACAAAAGCACAATGTCGAGGGAACTGCCTCTGCACCAGGAGAGAGTCTGCACATCCGCTGGCTGCAATCTTTGCAGTCAGGAGAGCAAACCACCGCAAGGGGAGCAGGGAAAGGGGTGAGCGAGGAGGAGCAGTAGCTCTGCCCTCTGCCACACTAGCCAGCTGAGCGCTCACAGGGATATTGCACATCAGGGAGGGCCAGGCAGGATCGTGGCTGGGGCAGAGTGCCTCTGCACCCTCATCATGGACTCATGGGTGCAACTCTGGCCCATGGCACTTGCAGTGCAAATGATGGCAGGAGCAGTGAGCCCCACCTTGTGTCAGCGTGTCCCTTTCAGAAACCCCGGAATCACGGCCAAAGTGTTCAGACTTCCACCCAAGTGGCCTGACTTTCCAAGGTGCTGAGTGCCTGCAGCTCCTGTCGACCTCACAAGAAGCAGAGGAGACTCGGTACCTTTGAGAATCAGGCCATTTATTTAGATGCCTAACGTTACCCCCGCCCGCAGTTCGCTAACGTTAGCCCTGGGAGGCGCACGGCCCCATTGCATGTGGCGGAGCTTTCCACAGGTAGTAACTGGTGGCGTCTGGCTTACCTTGGTTTTGGGATCTATGAGGCTGACTCCATGCTTGTTGATGGCAATTAAAAGGATCTCTGGGTAATTTGGCTCGGTAGTTTGCTGTTACAAACGAGACGAAGCAGTCACATGAAAAGGCCTGGAAGATTGGACAACTCGTGGCTGAGGGCCCCTCCCGTCAGACCATCAGAAGGAGCGGCCTCATGGCGAGAATCCCGCTGCATTTTAGCTCGCACGTGGGTTCTCTCTAGTTTATCCTTTTAAGGAAGCTCAAAATAAATCAAGGCCTCTTCACTGCTATGGTAACAGCCATCCAGCTAATGATGAGTCTCCCCACCCCTGCCCCAAACACCTGGTGACTTTAATGAGTGATTGGCGGCTTTAAAGTTCCTTCTTTTCCATTTCTTTCCCCACCCAGTTTGCCAATGGAAGCAGCTGGTAGGGGAGCCATCCTGCCCGAGGACTGGGTGAGCTGGGATGCAGTGGGAAGCCCCAGGTGGCCCTTCCCTCCTCAGATCACCTCTTCTTCATGCATGGACTCTCCTGTCCTTAGTACCTCTGGTCTGAAGGAATCCTGGGCCAACTGCACCATTCCCTTTTGCTCGTCCTACCTTTGGCTTTAGGTTCCTTAGTGCTGGTCAGAGATGCTAGGCAGACAGTTCTGGAGACTCAGGGCCAGATCCTCAAAGGTATGGAGGGACCTAACTCCCAAAGGCAGTTAATACCTTTGAGGCTCTGGGCCTCAGTCCTACAGCTCAGAACCAAGAAGGGCAGTGGCAATGCAGGCTTCCCCACACACCCAGCCATTCTGCCTCCACCTCATCCAGGAAGAACCAAGTCAAGGGGTAGGAAGCAAAGTCTTGTGGCTAGGACAATGAACGGGGACTCGGGAGACATGCGATCCATTCCTGGCTCATCCATCAACTCCTTGGCTGACTGTAGGCAAGTCGCTTAAAGCAGAACTTGCAAAAGCTCTTAAGTGGCTTAGGAGCCCAAGTCCCATTGAAAATCTCACTCTACCCTGTGCCTCAGTTCCCAATCTGTAAAATGGCAATAGTAGCACTGCCCTCCCGCACAGAGGACAGATCCACGCATGAGTGGAAGGTCCTCAGACAATGATGAGTACCATGGAAATACCTAATTAGAGGGAGCGAGCTGGCAAACGAGTCTACGTGGCCCAGGCAGGGGCCACCGAACAGCCATCAGTTCTTCCCTTTAGAATTCCTTATACTCTGTCAGGGGGAGGAGCGGTGAGAACCAACCAATTCCCGGGGTCCCTGCGCCTGCCAGATGACCCACACAATGAAATCTGTACCTTCACTTCAAAGAAGGCGGATCCAAACGTAGGCCACTTGAAGACTATCTTCAGGAAGGCAAGCTTGGCTTCTTCTCTTGTTTTGCCTGCATGCTTATTGAAATACGCCACAATGGACTGCAAAGGACAACATGACATTACTGAAGGGCTTGCCAGACCACCTGGGAACTAGGACATTTGAATACAAAGAGCATCATGACACACAGATGTCATGTTATTCCTGCCACAAAACATCAGATGTTGCCGTCCTGTTTTAACAGAAATCCACCATGCCCTCACCTGCGCATTAGCTATTGTGCCAGTGCAGGAGCCTGAAAAGACCTTATACGTTATTTTTCCATCTTCCAGCCAGTACAGGTTTGAGTATATCCACAAGTGCTTTTTCCAGCGTGAGGCAGGACAGACTTGTGGTTAACGCACTGGGCTAGCGCCTGGAAGAGCTGGATTCAATTCCCAGCTTTGATACTGACTCCTTGTATCATCTGGAACAAGTCACTTAATCTCTCTGTGCCTTGGTTCTCCACATGTTAAAACAGGGATAATCAATCTTCGCTTCCTTTGCCTGTCTTGAATGTAAGCTCTGTAGGACCCGGATTGTCTCTTACCAGGTGCTTATACACTGCCCCACAAAATGGGACCCTGATCTTTGCTGGGCCCTAAGCGTTGCTATACTAGTAATAGTTACCTATGGTGTAAGTGTAACCTACTAGTGTGTGTGAGTTACCGGACCCACTCTGTGCATGGCTGGCAGAGCACTGATTGTGTTCCAGCCCCACCTAGAGAGGTTTAGCTCAAGCTGATATACTCCTGCTTTTAGCTCTGGAGGTCCCCGGTTCAGTCCCTGCTGCGTTGGACAGGATGGCAGCGGTCACACAAGCTTATCGAGATGCTATACCCGCAGCACCGTTCTCTGAGCCCGGCTCGGTGTTATCAAGGCCGTTCCTTACCCTTTTCCAGTCGTCCGGAGAGAGCTGCCGGAGAAGATCCTGAGGCACCAGCTCCTTCAGGAGCTTGGGGATGCTGGGGAAGTAGGACTTGTCATCCTCAAACTTCACCCTGTAGATCAGAGCTGCCAGCTGTAAGACCTCTTCCCGGGTACACTTGTGGTAGCCACGCAGGTACTTTGGTAATTCCTGCACACGAAAGCGTTTCACAAGGTAACGGGGGTGGCCACAAACATCCAGGTTCTCAAAGACGTCCTTTTGTCTTCAGAGACAGAGGCTGTTTGAATGGCAACACCCAACCGTCCCAAGACAAATGCCAAGTAGATGCTGGCTAACGGAAATCTAGCAGATCGGCAGCTACAGAAGGAAGCTGCTTGAAAACCGGCTGTGCTAGTGCAGTGATCTTCAGTCTTTTCCATCCCACAACCCAACCCCCTCCTGGTACCCCCACTTAGCTGGGACCCCTTTCTCCTTCAGAAACACTGGAAAGACACAATGGTTGGTGGCCCTGGGGACGGGGGTTGCGAAGCTCAGACCGAGACACTTTGCACTACTGCAGCCAGGGATCAGGGCTCGATAAAACAGGGGCTCTCCTGATCTCTGCCCCACATTTGAAATGAACCCAAGTCTAACAGCTTTGGGGATTTGAGTGAAAAACATGAATCTTAGTGATGAATCCTGGGTAAAACACTGGATCTGCAAAGCCTGAGCCTCGGTGAAGTCGGATCTGAACCCGAAGCTCGATGTCATGACTGGCCCAAAATGAGGGGAACCAAACCTGCTCCTGAACTACAACCCCACAAGAACCGTGGATAAGCTGGAATCTGGTTCTGAGGCACCAGGCAGGCAGGCTCATCCCCGATATGTCTTCCCCTCTGCACTGCTGGTGGCAGACAGAACGCAGCTGAGGCCTCTCCCTGCTTTATTTTACACCTGTTTGTTTCTTCCTTCAATCACCCCCCCCTCCCCCACTTTTGCCCTTTCACCATGTGAGTTACAGCCAGTTCCTTGAGCAGGGCCGGCTCCAGGCACCAGCCAAGCAAGCTGGTGCTTGGGGCGGCAGCTTGTAGGAGGCGGCATTCCGCCCAATCCTAGGGCGGCACGGCTGCATTTTTTGTTTTTGTTTTGTTGTTGTTCCGCTCCGGCCGTCCTGTAGGGGGCAGCGGCGTGGAGGACGGGAGCGCCCTGCAGCAAGCCCGGCAGGGCAGCCCGCGTCCTTCCCTCCCGCTCCCAGCCGACCGGAGTGGTGCGGAGCCCTCCCGGTAGGGGGCACGGTGGGAGGGGCCACGTGGCAGCGCCCCGCTGAAGCCCTGGCCGCCCCCCTTCTCTCTCTCCCCCCGCTTCTTCCCCCTCCCCCCGCTAGCCGGGGCACATCTGCAGGGCAGGGAGTCCCCCTGCATCCTGACTCTGGCCGTGCTGCAGGGTTTTTTTTTTGCTTTTTTGCTTTGCTTGGGGCGGCCAGAAAGCCAGAGCCGGCCCTGTCCTTGAGGTGTAACTTACAGCACCATTTACCTCTTACAATCGTAGAGATCTCTTCTATGGCTGCCATCACAGCAATAACTAAGAGCTTCCCAGGTAAATTCAATCTATCTGGGGAATTCCCCAAGGGAGTTCATGGCGTTGGCTGCTGTTCACCCCTCTGTAGTTATGGAGGAACTGCCTGGGAACGGCAATATTTTTCTGAAATCATCATTGTAATGGGGCGGGCGGAAATGTTCAGTTAAAGCACCAGCCCTGGGTTAGCTTGGCCACCACTAGAGGCTCATCTCTCAGCCAGACCGCTTTGACCAAGGCCGTTTTAGCTCACACTCTAACACACTTTGTCACTTGTGTTGGCCCAGAGGAGCTCAGCTGTTGAGGGAGATCATTTCGAATCGAATGGGTTTTTCTTTTATTCAAATCAAGCTTCCCCTTTAAGCCATATAACCTCGAGAATGATTTAAAAAGTACCCTTCATCTGTCAACAAGACCATGTATGACATAATCAGCAGGAGGCACGTTCATGTTGGAACAACCATTTTATCGAGAATGACTGTAATAGTGTGTGCGTGTGAATTTCACACTTGAAAGTAGCTGGCCAGACAGCCCAGCAGAACAGAGACCTCTCTTTAGCTGCAGAACAAGTACAGCAGCGGTGTGGCATTCTGCCCTGTCTCTGCTACTCAAACCTGACCTGGGCAGATCACCTTGACATGAAAGAGATGAAAAATCTCTGGGGCTATTCAGAGTGCGGCTTCTCTGCTGGGACTGCCGAGAAGAGGGCTAATTAGTGCCTCTGACCCATGGTTTTATGATGTTGATACCTACTCAAGAGGAGTGTACTAAGATCTTCAGTCCTCCTAACAGCCCGCACATGGAAACCTCTATTTGTCACTACTGGTGTGAGTTGGATTTGAGCTATTGATGTAGAAGGAGGAAGCCTTTTTATCCCCTTACTAGTTCCCTGAGTCACCCAGACCTCCCCCAGTATTGTAAACTCATGGAGTACCTGATAATAGTGGAAGATGGAGTCTGCCATTGAATCCTTCCCAGGCATGGTGTTTGTCCACAGTTTTTTCATGAAGAACACTTGATATGTGAGAGAAGGCACTATACCTGCAAAAAGGAATCTGTTCAACATTGACTAGGCTTGAAACAAACGCTTCAACCACTAGATGGAAACCTGTATAAAAGAGACGCTCGCTTCTTGGAGCAATTCACAGTCCCTGCTGCAGGAGGTTCAGGGATGAAATAGCAAGTGTTAAAGCCATGACTGAAGTGCATTGGCTACAGAGTGGCTGCCTAAATTGCTCTATGAACTCTTAAGTTAGTGGTCTTCAGGCTTTCACTTAAATAAGCACTGAATTCACTTGCAAATCTAGAATGAAAGGAGGATGGATTTAATTTCATAGCAACAGCATTACAATGTATTGTGGAAGTTTCTGGAAAATTACTTGGGGCCAGTTAGTGAAGCTGCATTTCAGCTAGCAAAGCAATGCTAAAAGCTCAGAAAGTTTCTATATCTGCCAAAGTCCGGACAGCAACCACAAAACTTCAATCTTCAGGGGAAGTCACTTATTTAGAGGCATGGGCTAGTTGATCTCTGCATTGCCAGCCCTTGGCACCTGTGATCTGTATGACCACAGAAGATTCTTGATTCCCTTAATAGAAATGGGAACAGGATTAAAGTGGATACTGTGAAATTACTGGGAGTCGTCAGGTGGCAATATAAAGTCTTAAGTACTACAAAGATAATAAATGCCCTCTAACTGATCGTATAAGTAGTCAGAGCTTGGAGTATTGCTGGGTGTTAGCTGTTGTGCGGTTCTTTTTAGAAGTTATGGATAGCAAGAGTAAAAGTTTGCTCCCTGCCCAAGAATGGATCATTTCTTAGGTGCAGAGTTGCTGTTGACATGATTTACATGAACACCCAAGATCCAAACATTACACGGTGCCAAACACATTACAGATATAGTTTTCATCAGGGTATGGTAGGCGAGAGGAGCCTTTTAAAAATGATTTCAATGGGCTCTATGAGACCTCCCCGGCCAGCACTGTACCTGGGAGAGGAAATAGCAGCAAAACAGAAGAATGACATTATTACCGTCTTTTGCAGGTCTTGCTTTCTTTATCCAGTCTGTAAGATGTCTGACAAAGTCAAAGAAGAAATCTCCTTCTGGGACGCTGATAACCTGTGGAAACACATCCCACTGTTAATAAAACCAACCAAATAATAGCTAATCAGAGAATTATAGGGGAGAAAAGCCCTATTATGCAGGCTAGCCTAGGCCATCCCCCTGCCACTGGAGGATCATTTCTTCCAGTACGTCTTGCAGTGCCTTGCCCATGCTGGTTTTAAATGTCTCAAATGGTGAGGCTTCCACAGATCTGACCATCAGAAAGCTATTGCTGGCCTAGCTGTTTCTACACCGTCCTTCACCTAATTTCATCCAGTTATTCCTAGTTATCTCCTCTTGTTCCACCCTAATCAATTCATCTCCCTTCATCTCTCCATTGCTTCTGGACAGTGCTTGTGTACCACATTTAATCCTTCCTTAAATCAGTCTATTCAGCAGCGTGACCATCCTCTTGCTCCCCTCTAATAGGTCACTATCGGTCTGGTCCAATATCCCAGGTCTGGTTGGACCAGAGCCATATAGGGAGTGGCTATCAGCTCCCGGCTCTGTGAACTACAGGCCAGTCAGCCTCACCTCAGTCCCTGGAAAAATCATGGAGCAGGTCCTCAAGGAATCAATTATGAAACACTTAGAGGAGAGGAAAGTGATCAGGAACAATCAGCATGGATTCACCAAGGGGAAGTCGTGCCTGACTAACCTAATTGCCTTCTATGA